CACACACCACATAATAACCACTTTGTTTAGGATGTTTTCAGGGTTCCAGGGCAGGTGGTGACACAATCTCTCACTGGTCTGGACTGAAATGGTACAACTCTGCAACTAAATGGATAATAAAGACGATCAAAACCACTATTGTATTTTTTTCTGTAGATGAAAATTGGAACGCTTTTCTGTCTAAAGCTTCCCTACAGTGTCAAGTGCTACACTGCAAAATGTATTGTCCTTTGAATGAGACATTAAAGCTGATATTCATTATGCCTGCCTATACAGTCTGGCCAGATAGAAGTTAAAGAACCCAGGGCTATCTTTCAAGAGAATAACTGCAAGACATGGGGGCATCTAATTAACATTTGTTAGATTTTAAACATGTGCCATAATTTTGAGCCTAGCACGGGACTAGTGTAGAGCCCTGCAGCAGAACTGGGATCCCATAATCCAGCAGGACCCGCTGCCATGGGCGGCAGGTATCATAAGCTGGGGGAGGCTGAGCCTCCCCCAATAGCCAGGTGGCCCTGCCCACGCTCCGCCCCCAGTGCCCCCTCTTACTTCCCACTCTGAAGCTTGCCCTGTGTGGTGGCCCCGGCTTGGGCTGCACCACCTGTCCTCCCAGCGCTCCAGGACTGGGGGATCTGTGGCTGCACTATTTGCCCTACCAGCGTCCTGGGGCTTGGGGGGCTAGGGCCGCGCTACCTGCCCTCCTGGTGCTCTGGGGCTGGGAGGAGCTGGGGCTGCACCACCTGCCCTCCTGGTGCTCCAGGGCTGGGGCCAGTGGCTGCGGTGGGGGAGCTCTAGGTTCCTGTGAGGGGCAGGGCCTCGGGCAAAAGGGGCAGGGCTGGGGGCTAACCTCCCTTAGCTGGCGGTTCACGCACCGCCCATGCCCACTGCCATAATAGTGGGAGCAGGATTAAAGAATAGTCCTGCATGGGGCTCTACCATAATTATGGGGTCCAATACATAGGTGCATAGGGTAGATTTTCATGGGACAGGAAGTGCTGACACAGCCAGTATGTGGGCAGATGTACAATGTTGTCTGTTTGCCTTTCTTTCACTGATCGACAGTCTCAGACCCTCTCTACATTTAAAAGTTTTGCTGCTTGAACTATGGTGGCTTAGATAAAGCAGCAAAAAACCCCTAGTGCAGACACAGTTATAATATTAGAGCTTATTCCAATTCAGCAAAGCAAAATAAGCCTTACCAATATAAAGCACCTTATACCAATATAACTGCATTTGATGTGAGTTGTGGCAAACTTGAAAGACTCTCTCCACATGTTTTTCCTGGGCTATTTTCTATCCATTTGGGGGCATCTATGAACCCTATTTACTTTTTAACACATTTTCCTACTGGGAGCACAATTCCTTACTGAGCTATTCAGAACCTGTGCATCAGTCTCATTTCAAATACAGTGAGCGTTGGAGGTGGGGATGGGAAGAGGGGAGTATATTTTAAATTCCAAGCTAAATCCAACACCCCACCCCTTATCTCTGGCCCTCTGGTTTTTAAATATATATTTTCTTCTATAGAGAGACAAGGTGGGTGAGGTAATATCTTTTATGGGACCAACTTCTGCTGGTGAGAGATAAGCTTTTGAGCTACACAGAGCTCTTCTTCAGGCCTCTCTATCTCTTCCACCAGGCTGCATTATCCCACTGCTGACATTCCGGAGGGAACTCAGCTCAGGCGAAATCAAAGATAATCCAATAATGGAATTTTATAATGAATTCTAATGTTGTGGGTGGGGTGGGGACTGTACAAGTGAAAAGGAGTCTGAACATTTCTTTTTTTCCCCCTGCATACAAAGTATCATTTGCTTTGACTATAAAAAATTCTGTGCATTAACCAGTATTTCCTAGATTTACGATTCATATTGTACAACTGATGTAAGGATCAGAGAGACCATTATTATTGAATGTTCCTTGGCAGTTTACATGAATCACAGCATAAAGTAAACCAA